CGCGCGCCAGGCGCGCGCCTGGAGGAACCATGCCAGCTCCTCGTCGATCGGCCACAGGGCGGCGCCCCTCTTGGCCCACAGGTCGGCTGCCCTGTTGCCCTTGGTCATGGGCTCCTCCTCCCAGCTGGACGCCGCGGCGAGCGCCCTGTGCGCCTTGACCTTGCGCACTGTGGCCGTCAGGCCAAGCCCCGCCCGCCACTCCTGCCACAGGGGGCGGCGCGCCTGCAGCGGCGCGAGGGATTTGCCCCGCGAAAGCGCCAGGCCGACCGTGCCAGCACAGTCGCAGAAGACCTCGAGGCCCGCGCCATCGTCCGACGCCTGCCAGTACTGGGCCAGCATGTGGAACTCGTAGTCCTCGCCGTCCCTGGCCTCCTGCTCGGGTCCGTACCTCCACGGGACGATGCCGTGCATCCCGCCGATGACTTCCCCGCCGAGGCCGATCTGCACCACGGCCCAGCCAGCGCGGCGTGCCCCTCGCAGCGCGGGGAACCTGGCGCTGCCATCCACGAAGACCCTGCCCGCGAACTTCGAGCCTGGCGGCGCGCCGAACCAGCGCGGGGCCGCGAGCGCAGCGTCTGCCGCCGCGGGGAAGGCAAGGGCAGGGTCGGGGCAGAGCGCACGCGCGAAGAGCTCCGCCGCGGCATCCCCGCGCTGCGCCACCAGCCTCGCCCCTTCCAGCAGCTCGGGCGAGCGCGCCTCCCTCCGCAGCGGCTGCCAGGCGTCGCGCTCGAAGGCCCTGTGCCACAGCGTGCCTCTGCCTCCTCGCAGGCAGCAGCGGCCGTCGAGCGCCTTGCCCTCCTTCCAGAGCCGCTCCTGCGGCCAGTGGGAGCCGCCGGGGACCGCCACGAGCGCGCGCCTGTGACGGGCCTGCCAGAGCGGCGGCGGCCGCGCGGGCCCCTGGCGGCCTGAGCCAGGGGCGGCCTCAGCGGAGGCCTGCTCCTCGAGGCGGCGGTTCACGCGGAGGAGGCGCTCCAGCCCCTTCCAGTTCGCAGGCCGTGCCCAGGCGCCAGGCCCGCGCAACCGCTGCAGCGCGAGCACATCCGAGGCCAGCAGCGCCGACGCGCGAACCACCTGCACCAGCATGCCTGGCGAGAAGAACTCCAGCGAGAAGACCCGCGCCTGCCAATCAATGACGGCATTGAAGGCCACCATCTCGCAGCCGACCCGCCCCAGAGCCAGCGCACACGCCCGTGCAGGGTCACGGCACTGTCCCCAAGGGCGGCGCAGCTCCAGCAGGCCTTGCGCCCCGCGCCAGCACTCCTGCACCACCGCGGCACTGGGCAGGCCCGTCTCCAGCGTCATGCCCCAGGAGCGTGCCGCCTCCACCGCGTGCACCACGAAGGGGTCTCGGTAGGCGGCGCCTTGCTGGGCCCGCAGCCGCAGGCCAACGCTGGCGCCCATGGGCAGCTTGCCCTCAGCGCGCATGGCGGCGACCCGCAGGCCGCGCAGCTTCCCGCAGGCGAGGCCCGTCACGGCGGAGCCCCAGACAGCGGCGGCAGCGGGCCCCCCCCTCTGGATGTGGCCCACCCGCGCGCCGGCGCCGCGCAGCAGGCGCGCCCGCGCACTGACTGCCGCCCCGCGGCCAAGCCGCGCGTCCTGCTCGCCCGCGCGCCTCCGGCGCCCGTCGGTAGCGTCACCGCCCAGGCAGCGGGCTCCTGCCCAGCGGGCCAGCGGCCCGTGCGCCCAGCAGCCGTCCAGCGCGTCGCCCAGGTCCTCGCTGTTCACAGGGTAGCCCGTCTTCGCCTCCGAGATGACCAGCCCCTTGGCGACCAGGCCCTCGATGGGGGCAGCCATGGCCCTGGGCAGCTGCTGCACCACCTGAGCCTCGCCGCCGACCGCCTGCGGCAGAACTTCGTCCACGACGTTCTGCAGGCGATCCACAGGGCTCTCACGCATGATCTTCACGAAGAGGGTATGCACCAGCAGCTTGGCCAGTCCGACCGCCCCACTGCATCCCGCCACAATGGTGCCGTTCGCCTCGAACGGCTTGGAGGCTGAGCCGCGCCACGACACGCACCGCTGCGTGCAGTGCGACACGCAGTAGCACCGCAGCAGCGCGAGCGGGAAGCCCGCGGCGACCGCCTGCACGCGCAGCTCCTCGTGACTGGCATGCTCGTAGAACTTCGCCAGGTCGGTGACTCCAGTTGCCGCCGAGAGGCCCCTGCTGCGAGCGAAGGCCGCCAGGAGGTCGTGCGCCGCTCCTGCGCGCTCGCACGGGCACTCCGACGTGCCCCAGAAGGCGGGGTTCTGCAGCGAGGCCCCCCAGCGGGCCACCAGCGGCTGTCGCATCCTGCTCCACACCCTCAGCCAGATGGCCGTGAAACCAATCGGCCGCTGGCCTCCAGTCGCCTTGGGGATGAACACCACAACCAGCTGCCACAGCGCCTCCCGCGTGGGCCTCCGCTCCCAGGCCTGGAGGAGCTCCAGGAAGCGCTCCCTGTAGGACCGCGGGAGGCGCAGCAGCTGCTTCGGGTGGAGCCTATCCCAGCCGAGGCCGCACCCCTCGCGGTAGGTGCCCAGGGCCCGCTCCAGATCCTCGAGCTCCAGCGGCGGCAGCACCGACTCCTGGATGCCCCAGTCCTCGGGCGCCACCTCGCCAGCGCGCGACGGCTTGATCCGGAGGGGCTGCCACGCCTTCAGCAGCGCAGCCACCGCGGCCTCGCCTGCTACGGGCATGCGCGGGCCATCGTCGCCATCTGCGCCCGCGTGCATCACCGTGGGCAGCACCGTGACCTGCGTGATGAACAGGTAGGCCGCCGAGCCGCCCCTCTCGGTGGCAGCAGCCTGGGCCCGGGCGCGCCACTCAGCAGCCCTCCGCTGCTTGTCCTGCATCCAGCGCCGCCTCGCCTCCTCCTGGACGAACTGCACCGTCAGCTTGCACGATGAGGCGCTGGGCAGGCCGACAACGCGGGCGACCGACAGCCCTGCGAGCGGGCCGTCATCAGGTCACTCGAGCTCGAACGCCTCCAGCACCTGACGCTGCTTGCGCAGCGGCGCCGCGCAGCGACCTCCTGGCGCCGCCTCCTGCAGCGCACGCCAGCGGGAGCACGCCGCCGCAAACGACATCCAGCGTCTGCACGCCGCGCCAACGCTCCTCTTGAGGTCCTGCTTCCAGGCCACCTCCATCATGACCTTCTGCGCGCGCAGCCCGTCAGCCCGTCCTTTCCAACGGCTGGGCGGCACGATCTCGTGGAGGTCGATCAGGTAGGCCTCCACCGCCTCAAACCACTCCTGGCGGCCGACCTTGAGCGGCTGCTCGCCTCCTGGGCTCCAGGCAGAGAGCCCACGCTCACGCGGCGCTGGCCTCGCTGGCGGCGGAAGCGGCAGCGGGGAGGCGGCAGGGAACAGCGGCCGCTGCACCCTCGCCGCTGGCCCTACGCCGCGGAGCATCACCTTCAGCGGCACGCGGTCCTTCGTCGGCGCCTGCAGCAGCACCTCCACCGTCTCCACGAAGCCCGTGAGGACCATGCTGACGACAGCGAAGTCTAAGACCTTCGAGCCGCAGGTCGGCTCCCCTGGGGCGACAAGGGCAGCGCCCGCGCTGCGTGCCCACTCACGGACGTCCTCGGGCTCCATGTTCCAGTCACCCATCACCAGCCACGGCGACTCCAGCTGCCCGACGTACTCGTGCAGCGCCGCCATGAGCCCGATGTTCTCATTCGCCCTGCCTATCTTCGTGATGAAGTAGGACGTGATGATGCAGCACGGCTCCCTGAATCCCAGGTTCACCTCGCACACCTGGAACCGATGGGCTGGGAGCCCTGGGGTCACGACTGCCGCAGACGGCCGCAGCGTGGCCACAGCCACACCTCCCGAGCTCTCCAGCGGCCCAGGGCCCGTCGCCATCGCGGCCTGGCCGTGCCAGCTGAAGCCGCGCGCCTGCATCCAGCCCGCAGCGCGGGCCACCGCCTGCTTGCCCTTGAGGCGGTGCTCCTGGAGGCAGAGCACCTCGGGCAGCCGCCCCACGCCGTCGTGCAGCCACTCGACCAGCGATTGCGCGGAGCCCCACGCGGTGTTGGCCGACACCAGTTCCACCACTCGCTGGCGCTTGGCCAACGCTGCGCGCCAGGCCTCCCGCTGCTGCTCATCCTCCATGCCGACCTCGTCGAACAAGGCATCGAGCCCGTCGAGCTCTGGGCCCAGGCCGAGGTCACCGACGCGCTTGCGGTCTCCAGGAGGACCAGCAGCGCCATCCACCTCGCCTGCGGCCGCGGGGGCGGCCTCCTGCGCGGCGGCGGCCCGCTCGGCCGCCGCTGCCTCGCGGGCGCGGGCGTCGGCGGCAGCGAGCTCTCCACGAGGCAGCGGGCCTCCGCGGCCATCGCGAGCAGGGCGTCGCCGTCCTCCCCGAGCTGCAACACCCGCTCCCGCTCCGCCTCGAGGCCCTCGAGGCTCTTGAGCAGCGCCTTGCCCAGGTCGCCCGTCTCCTCGGGCTCGCCCACCTCCATGGGCGACGGGCCTGTGTGCTGCGCCAGGTCGGCGCGCTTCCTGGCGCGCACCGCCTCGGCCACCTCCTCCAGCTGGTCACGGCGCTTCTGGAGGACGCCCACCTGCTCCGCCACGCGCGCCGCGGCGGCCTCCTGCTCCTCCTTGGCCGCCGCCAGCATGGCCTCGGCACGGCCGACCTGGCCCTTGACCTTCGCCTCCCTGGCCAGGAGGGCCTGGAGAGACAGCTCGGCCAAGGGCTTCGCAGGCGGCGGCACGTCGGCCTCGGGCACCAGGGCCCCGAAGTCCTGGACCAGGGCCGCCGACCAGCCCTCCCTGGGGCCAAAGTGACGGAGGAGGGCCACGCGGACCTCCTCGTCCTTGCCGCCGCCGCTGCTGGGCTTCTCCACGGCCGCCTGCTTGGCCGCGCCCTGCGCCCACGGCGCCGGCGTGGCCGCGGCGGCGGACGGGCCAGGCCCATCCGAGGCGAACCGCACCCGCTTCGCCACGGCCTTCGCCTTCCCCTTGGCTTTGACCTTCTTGGCCTTGTCGATGGCGTCGCCGATCGTACCAGCTCCTCTCGGCGGCCGCGCCGCCTGGCAGAGCCTGCACACCGTGCGCCACGCCATGTTGCTGTAGCCAGCTGCACAAGCATTGCACGTCCAGGGGTCGCCACCCTGGCTGGCACCGCGTGCGCCTCCAGCAGCACCATTCGCCATCGGCCCGCGGGGGCACGCCGCTTCGAAGTATGCACCCGCAAGAGCGAGCCCCGTGCTCGCCCCGAAACGGCTAAGATGATGATGATGATGATGATGATGATGATGATGATGATGATGATGATGAGGAGGAGGAGGAGGAGGAGGAGGAGGAGGGGGGGAGGCGGGGAGGGTAGATATTAGGAAGTGAGGGAGGAGTGGGAGGTATGGAAGGAAGCAGGAGTCTGATAATACCAGTGATGATGACGATGGTGGCGATGATGATGACAATGCTGCTGCTGCTGATGATGATGATGATGATGATGATGCTGATTATGTTGGTACTAAGGGTGACGATGATGCTGACGTTGATAAGGATACGGATGATGATAATGCTGCTGCTGTTGCTGGTGATGCTGATTATGATGATTCTGAGGATGATTATGATGATTAGGTTGTTGTTGATGATGATGGTGGTGATTGTGATTGCGACTGATGATGACGATGATGCTGATGCTGATGCTGATGATGACGACGATGTTGTTGATGAGGGTGGTGATTGTGATGGCGAGGTTGGTGCTGATGATGACGATGAGGCTTGTGATGCTGATGATGGTGGGTGATGACGGATGATGATGATGCTGATGCTGATGCTGATGCTGATGCTGATGATGATGATGATGATGATGATGATGTTGACGATGCTGATGAGGATGGTGGTGACGACGGCGATGCTGATTTTGACGATGATGATGATTGTGATGAGACGACGACGGCGGCAATGTTGACGACGATGATGATGGGGCTGATGATGTTGATGATGATGATGCCGATCATGATGATGGTGACGACGACGATGCTGCTGATGATGATGATGATGTTGGCAACGACGATACTGGTGATGATGATATTGCTGATGATGCTAAGGCTGATGCTGTTTCTGTTGGTGATGCTGATCGTGATGATGACGATGTTGGTGATAATGCTGCTGCTTTCGATGACGACGGTGATGCTGCTGCGGCTGCTTCTGATAAGGGTGATGCTGCTGTTGATGATGCTGATACTGATAATGATAATGATGATGATGATGCTGATGATGATGACGATGCTAATGCTGCTGATGACGATGACACTGCTGCTGATGATGACGATGCTGATGATGACGATGCTGACGGTGATCACGATGGTGGTAGTGGTGATGAGGTGGTGGTGAGTGTGATGACAACGACGATGCTGGTGATGATGAGATTGCCGATGATGATGATGATGTTTTTGTTCTCGGTGATGCTGATCGTGATGATGGCGACGATGCTGGTGGTAATGCTGCTGCCGTCGATGACGACAGTGATGCTGATGATGATGACGATGACGACGATAATGACGGTGATGATGATGCTGATGATGATGATGATGATGATGATGATGATGATGATGTTGATCTTGATGATGATGATGATGATGATGATGACGATGACGATGACGATGACGATGACGATGCTGATGATATTGATGCTGACGATGATGATTATGATGATGATGACGATTATGATGATGATGATGGTGGTGGTGGTGATGATGATGACGATGACGACGACGACGCTGCTGATGATGCTTATGATGACGATGCTGCTGCTGATGATGATTATGATCATGATGGATGATGAGGGGAAGGAGGATGTGGAGGAGGAGGAGGAGGACCAGTGGTAACCCAAGACTCACCAACGATGTTGGAATACACCCTCACTCCAAGCTCCCGCTTCATCGGCCCCCTACAGGGGTTCATCTTTTCTGGGAGAAGTGTCCCGTAGGGGAACAAAACACCATTCTCAGGACTTCAACGCCACGAGTCAGCCTGGCTGTTACGTCTTGGCGATCCTGAATCGTGCCCGGACACTATTCCTGGGACCTCAACACCGCGAATCAACGTAATTGTTACGCCCTGACAGTCCTGAATCGCTTCAAGACATAATGCTCTGGTACGTTAACCATGAGGGCTAGTGATTCTTTGGCATTTTCTAACGATGTGCGTGGCGCTAAGGCGAGAGCAATATTTTGAAAACGATCCGTCCTCAACCCGTGAAGCTTTTGCAAGTTTGTAAAATGCGGCGCTAAGGCAAGGATGAGGTGAAGGAGGAGGAGGACCAGGAGGAGGAGGAGAAGGATGAGGGGGAGGGGGAGGAGGAGGAGGAGGAGAGAGGGGAGGGGAGGGGGGAGGAGGAAGGAGGAGGAGGAGGAGGATGAGGAGGAGGAGGAGGAGGAGGAGGAGGAGGAGGAGGAGGAGGAGGAGGATGACACGCGCAGCCGCATGCCTTGCACAGGGAGAAGGTCGCGAGCACGGAGGGCCAGGTTGACCCGGCGAGTTGCCAGTGAACGACGAAAGGACCTCGTATCAGTGGGGTGTTGCAAAGGGGTCAAAGGCCCATTTGCAACACCCCACTGATCTTCCAACCTTTGCCGCGCAATGCAATTGTTGGTTGGCCATGCTCTGCATAACCAAAGTGCGAAAAATGGCCACATCGCGATGTGGTAGATGTTGATGGGCCCGTGCTCATCCCCCATCAAGCGGCATACCACCTGCCAGAGCTGCGCGTACGAGTGGGCTAACCAAGGTGCTCACCGAATCGCCGCACAGAGTCGCGGGGAAGGAGGGGCACGCCACGACAACTCCTCAGCGGTGCTCTGGCGAGCCCTTGGAAACCCCCTGGGTCCGTGAAGCAGGCCTCGGGGCTGATCAAGACTCTTCTTGGCGCCGTGCCTGGCGGAAGGAAAAGGCCTGCGACGAGGTGCGACGCCAACCCCGGAAGGCCTGGATCGGCTCTGGATTCCGTTGGAAGCCGGCCGCAAAAGCTCAGATCACCGCGGTCTCCGTGACCTGCATGTCACACTCGCCTCCCGCTCCGCAAAGTAAGAAAACCACGGTCGCAGGGCCGCAGACGCCTTGCGTGTCGAAGTTTGGATGGCACACTGATCCCTCCCGAGTCCTGACAGCACTCCGTAGTATGTTCGAGCCAGCGGTACACTGGTCCTCCGTGTTGCCGTTTGCTCTGACGGGCCCTGATCGCGTACCCGAAGTGTGTCAAGCCGTCTCCCAGCCACGCGTACATGACCGCCGGCACACCACCGGCCAAGACCTCGGAGCGCACGATCGCGAGCATTTGCTGACGGAGGAAACATCTGGCAACAGCCTGCAACAGGCTATCGCCACCTGCATTGGTCAAATAACACGGCGTGCAAATCAGATCCCTACATTGCGCCTGGAGGGCTGTGCCTGCGATGTGCGCTTGGCGCGTCCGGCGTGCCCTCCGCAGCCAGCAAATAGTATGAACGATGTGCAACGCTGCCTACATCATCTGCATGTTGCAGTCCGAGCGCTGTTTTGCCCGTCCTATTGAAAAACACCCATCCACAGCAGTGCTCACAGAAGAAGTTATGGACCGAATGTCCTTCCGCAACAGTTTTTCACACAACACGGCTTCACAAACGGCGAACAGCCTACAAATCACATGATCATTCAAAGCCTGACGCGGCAGAAGCCCTGCGAACTACCATCAAGTATCCGATGCGGTCACGAACCTGCGCCCCACGAACAAGAGGATGGAAGGCACGGTCGATGGTCAATGTCGTCGACGGCATATTTCGGATTCTGAGATAAATCAAACCAGTTGCCATAAGTCGACCCCCATACGCATAATACAATTCAACGAATAGTACAAACAAGATGCCAATAATTAAGTCACGTTCGTGACGTGGCAGTTTGCACTCTGGTGTACTGTCTTCTACGTGACCCTCTGTTACTCTCTCCCCTGTCTGGCAACGGCACGGAAAGGTGCGAAAGGGCTGCAACTCAAATGCCCAGGCCTGGCGAGCTACAGCAATACGGACAGCCAGAGCGGTGCACTTTTTGAGCACCGTTTGCTCAACGTTGGGCTCCAATGGGATATGTAACATGACAGCCCTGTGCGAAAATACTACGTGCAGGGGCGCGAGCAGCGATTTGGGCATGCAAGCTGGGTCAGCAGGATCACTTGCGAGTGCAAGGACGGTCCAGGAACTCCGAAGGGAAGGGCTCCTCGGCCGGATCGGTCGTAACGCTCCACGCCGTTCCAGGAGGAAATACAGAAGTGGGGAAGAAATCAAGACCTGTTTGATCCCATGATGGCGCAACGGAACTCTGGGAATTCTTATGGTCTGTCCTCGATCCAAATATACAGCCGAAGTGTAGCAATACAGACGGTGCAGACACATATTCCCGATTTTGTCGTAACGCTCCGTCTGCGTTGCGACACTTCGGCTGTATTTTCGGATCGGAGCCAGACCCTAGGAATTCCAAAGAGTTTCATGTGATCCAGCAGGTTTTCTTCCCCACTTCTGTATTTCCCTACATAGGCTCTGCCTAGAAGGGTTCTTACTCTCTTAGCTTAAAGGGCCGGGCAGTGTAAACCGCCCCGGGCGGTTCCCCCAGTCCCCGCCCCGCGGTTCCCCCAGTCCCCTGAGAGCTTTAGCTTTAGCTTTAGCTTTAGCTTTAGCTTAGCTTTAGCTTAGCTGTAGCTTAGCTTCAGCTTAGCTTTAGCTTAGCTTTAGCTTAGCTTTAGCTTAGCTTCAGCTTAGCTTGAGCTTAGCTTTAGCTTGGCTTTAGCTTAGCGGCACTTTAGCTTTAGCTTAGCTTTAGCTTAGCTTTAGCTTTAGCTTTAGCTGAGCTTTAGCTTACCTTGAGCTTAGCTTTAGCTTAGCTTTAG